CAACTGTTCCGGCCAAAGGCGACTGGGCTGAGAGGGGTGGAGTGGGGTGGGTGGAGCAGGCATTTTAGGTGAAAATAATCACCGCTTCACATGAAATCATTTTGCGCCACAAAATGCCAAAGAAAATGCAAGCAACGCCCAACGGAGCAGGAGCGAAAGAGCGAGGTGAAGTGCCGGCAGGATACGCAAGGATCTGCCTGGCAGAGCAGCCAGAGTCATCGCCGAACGATATAAATTCAAACTTCTGCCCTATCCAGCGCAAACAAATCAAAAGTGACAATTTTTGGAATCGTTTAAATGATTGCTCACATTGATTTCTGGCCCAACTCTAACGGAGAACAAAACGACTTTTTAATGATGGTTAAAACTGTACTTGGATTATATATGGAAAGAGTTGAAGATAAGACTTGAGCATATTCTGAATTGGAGTAGGCCATTTGGGCCATTTGGGAATTCAGGCTATCATCAAAGGAATTATCTTATAACTAGTCTGCTTTCTTAGGTATTAGATTGAACTGTATGATAGAGATAGAGGTAGAGTGATATCAAGAGACATCAAGAGAAGTGAGGAAGGGCTTCAAACTGGATTTTACAGAACTCTGCAACATTTGCGGCTTACATGATAGTCGGGAGGTGGAATGGAAAATGGATAATGCTCCTTATCTTCAGGTCATAGATGGATCGGATCCTTTCTAGTTGTGATGATTATTTTAGAGAGAGAAAGTATCCACGCTACAATAGTGAAATGTGAAATCAGAATAATTGAACGACATAAAAGAGCCGATTCTGAACAAAAATTTGTTATGTTCTTTCAGAATTTATATTCTTGTAGAAGACACGTAAATAGAAGATAAGTAAATATATCATTATCATATGGTATAAGAATACCATAGACTCCATTGAATACAAAAGGGTTCGGCATGTGAAATGATGCTTATTTAAAGGGCTATAAATTTAGCTTGCTAACTGTTTATTGTTAACTTGTTATTAAATTATAGAACGTTCGATCAATTCGCTAGAAAATATAACGAAATGAAATGAATTTTAGTGAAATGCTGTTGGCCCCTTTTAAACAATATCATATATAATTATGTATAGACAATTCACAAACGACGGCAGCAACAAATTTCAAAATTTTTTTTTTTCATATTGTAAATAATATATATGTATCTAGTATACACAGTAGACATATTGTATTGTACAATAATTTTTAGCACTTATTTTAATCCACCTTTTTACTTCATTATTTATTATCATTCACATACCTCTACTGGTTTATATCATTCAAAAAACAGTGAACAATGGCTGCATTATAATATTAAACACAATTCTTTAGTAAAAGCAAGAGAAGACTCACAAAACACGGAAAGAAGGAAACATAATTTTTTCGAGTTTCCGTTGCTTTATTGAACGAAAAAAAGAAATAGGTAAATAAAGCGCAAGAAGAAGAGCAACAAATGGAGTTTAAATTTGGCCAAATCCACATCGAAGCTTGAACACACTTTTTTATGTATATTTAATATTAACTTAATTAATTTAAAAAATTATTTAAAATAAAATAAAGTGCATTTTATTTATAATTTTATATTTTGTATTTCTCTTTGATATACATAACAGTTATTTACGCTCAGGACTCGAGTTTTTTATTTGTCTGCCGAGGCAGTTTTTCATATTGAGAATGGACTCGAATTTTTTAGCAAAAACATTTTCATGATTTTATTCCACGAGTTTTTTGTTATTGTTGCTTGGTAAATATTTTAATGTTTATTTATATGTAGATTTGGGCTGGGCAAAAAGGACTCGGCGAAAAGCTGGCGGATGTTCGACGCCGTTTGACCATAGCCAAAGGATCTGCACACACATTTTATTGTGCTTCGTTTTTGTTGCCACTGCTGCCGGCTGCTGTCATAAAAAAGGACTCGCATTATGCTGAACAAAGTGCGCAAAACACCTTTGGCCGCATCCAAAAGGGATACTTCACAAAGGTCGCGGAAGTAATTTACAATTTGAGCAACAAAACCAGAAAAAACCAACAAAATAAAAAATCAGACAGCAAAGCAAATAAAGTAGTGACAGGAGCTGGGTAAAGAGGGAGGGAGATGCAGAGAGAGGGAGGGCGAGACGAGCGACGGGTTGTGTCTGGTCGCGACGCAAATTGACAAGATTTATTTTCAATTAAAAACAAACGCGAGGCGAAGCATTATCCTTTTGCTATTGCCTGCCTGGCGGCAGGAGGCGAGCGCAGTCAAACATTTTATTGGCAGCATTTCATGTGTGTTTCTCAATTCGACAATAAATCAAAAAGCGGCCGTCGCATTTTCGTTTTCATTTGCACATTTCCACAAATTTTCACAATTTTCCAACACAAACTATTGTGGACAGCCGCGCGCTGCTGGCGTGCAAGGACAGCGCGCTGCCACCCCTAAGCCACGGCGCATGCCGCGCGTTGATGAATTACGAAGGACATGCAGTCACACACACACACTCGCACACACACTCGCTCACACACGCACAGCGATTGGCTGCACGTCGACGTGCAATAATTTTATGTGTCCTAGCAAAAGGCAAAAAGAGAACGAGAGAAAAAAGCTGCTGCGGAGGACGCGTTGCAGCGGCCTCATTGTTGTCCTGGTTATTTATGACCCATTAAGGCAAGCGGCAATTGCACATGTGTTCTTCACACTCAGCCACCCTCTCCCCCCCCTCCCGGGCGCCACCGCCTCGCTGTCAAGGTGTTATGTGTGTCAGGTCGGCCGAAGACGACCTCGACGAATGTTGGCCTGAAACTGAACCGAGCAGCGCTGCCTGCGCTGACTGCGCCTGTGGCCTGTGGAGACACAAATGTTAATAATTGCATGGCAGCATCCTTGATGTCCTCTTTGTCTAATAATCATAAGGCATAATTCATTTGGTATCGTGTTTGCCGTTGAATTTATGACACTTCTTCTTTCATTTGCCATTTGCGCAGGCTAAAAACAATTATCCTGTGCCGTTAACCCACGCCAATGGGCGCACGCTTAATTGCATGGCCAAAAGGATTCCGAATGGAGACATTAGAAAAATCTGTCGCCTGCCGCCAACAGGACACACGTCGCTGAAGCTGCAAGTCGTTAAAATACGAGAATCGCTCGCATGTTGTCTCCCAGCTGGGGAGCACGAGACGAGGCGGGGAGACGGCAGCAGGAGTCAGTCTCCCTGTTCGTGAAACATGTGCTCCTCCAGTTTATTGAATCCGACTCTGGCATTGTGTACCACTTCCAATTCCAATTCCGATTCTACTAAAGGCAATACGTTTGGCAACAACTTGCTCAAATGTGCCATAATTCGATGTGAACGAGAGGCGAACAAATGCAGCCTCGGCACACGTTTTCACTCATCAAATTGTCGTGATGTTCAAGGATGTTCTTTAGCGACATTATTTTATAGAGACTGCGATTCATAGGCCAGTTAGCTGGAAGTGTCCAGCCATTGGGCTGGAGCTTATGAAAAACAGATTTACTAAGGTTCATCAAATTCTATATTCTATAAGCTCTAATCCTTTCTTTATATATATAAATAGTTTCTGCTCTTTTCCTCCTTTTTCAAATATACATAAATCTCAAGCACTTGAGCTAATAATCAAATGCATAAACTGTTTCATTCTAATGTCCTTCAGCATAGCCCAAGTGCATAGCATGTTGATGTCCTGGACAATGCTGGAGGACGCCGGCTGATGGAGAGCTGCAGCTGCAGGACCTCAAAATCATTGCAAAGTGGCAAAATAAATAAGAATGTAAATAAATTTGAGCGTGCGCTGCGCAGAGCTGCTTGGGCTGTCACTGTGCAAGGATGGCAGACGAGACAGGACATAAGCCATTGCTTCGGCCTGCATTACGCAGACTGCAGCAGCCGGAGGAGACACAAATTTATGCGACATCAAGTGGAAGCGAATCCACTGCCATCCACTGTCCCATTTCACCCCACCACCATCCTGATCCACCGCTTGGAACCGTCAACTGGCAACGGAAAGTCGCCACACAAAAACAGAGGAAAACTTTGTGCAGCAGCCACCTCAAGGCGCGTCTCAGAGCTCACAGCTAAACCAGACGTTGCTTGAGATATATGTATGTATGTATTTGGTAAGTTAGGTGTGGCAAGAGTCACAAGTATAAGATAATCGAGAGCCTGATAAAGATAAACAGATTTATCTGCGACCTGCTGAGTACGCAACGAGCCAAGCCAATAAGCTGCCCAAATTGTTAGGCTGATTGACAACCGAGCTTGGTCCCTTCTATAAGATAAGCTATGATTATATGTAAATTATTATAAGGCCTTTGCTCTAAGACCAACTTGCTGTTGGACTCTGTTTTCTTTTTAAATAGTTACCACGAACTTTCTTATAATTGTTTTATAAATTTTAGTTTAAAGGAAAATGCGCTCATACAAATGCGAGACCTCAACTTATCTCCCATGTACAAACATAGACTTGGATATAAAATCTGTAAATTTTCATTAGACGTACATATTGTGATAAACATTTTTATAAATTACAGTCATATGAGGTTGCTCTCATGCCCCACTATTTAAGAGAATAAATTGCTGAAAACTAAACACAGTTTGGGTATTCCTCTAATTTCTAGTTCAACTGAACTTTTTCGATCCATGCGATTCCCTATCAACAGTTAAAATATTCTTATTTGAATTAAGTTGTATTTGATTGTATTTATATTGTCTATCGATATGCACCTTTAGCTACTGCATTGTCATTGTTTCGAGTTCATATCACAAAAAAGAATACTTTCAATATATGGAGTTTTGAGAGAATCAAAGAGTTTCGATAAGAATATTCCTGATTGACTTAAGTTTCCTGGAGCTATCGATTTATAATCAATTTCTCGTGAGCATCGCACGTTAATCAAAAATGCTTTGCTTTTTAGTTAGTCACTTCAGTTCGGTTTTTAATAATACCTATTTACATCCTTTTAAATAATCAAAAAATTTTAAATTTTAAAATCCACAAAATGTTGGTCGATTGTGTGCGCCAAATAGCATTTTGTCCCATTCTACAGACTAGATACTTCGCCATTGTGATTGCGTGCATTCTTCATTTGGGCCTTCGCACCACAATCTTCATACACCAGACGAAGGAGAACAATACGGAGACACCAACTTTGGCTACCTATATAATTTACCTGTCAATGATGGATCTAATATACTCGGACGATCTAATCCCCTGTCCATTGAGGAGATTGCCAATCTTGGCCAGATTCTTCCTGGAGCTCCTGGTAACTGTGTGGCTGGGCGAAGTTGTTCTCATTTTCTTCTGGTCGAACGTGGAGAAAATTTGCCTCGGTGTGCTCGTTAACTACGTGGATACAGATAACGAAACCCGAGAAACCATCCATTATTGGCTGCTTATAGTGCTAAGTGTGCTCATCTCCTGCCTTGTGGGCATCGAGACGGAACGCATGGAGAAGATATCTAGTCTCTTTGAAATGGCCCAGGAGATCAGAGTCGAGAGGGAGATGCAGGCTTGGGCTGACAAGCACCGAAACATTTTCTATATGGAGTCCTAAGCGCCGACTGGTCAACTCAGCCCCAGTCGAAATTTCCACGAACTTGCCTTGACTATACACTAAAAATGTATTTTATTTAAAACGATTATAGATTGTAACTTTTTTTTTCACACTGTATTTGACTATTTGTTCCAATCAAATTTGGCTCAAAGACTTATTAAACTGTCTGCTCAGAGAGCCGATCTTAACTCCTGACTTATATCTACTTCTCGTGCACTGCATATGCAAACAGTTTTATGAGTTTACGTCTCATTATCTAGGTGCTTCGTTTCAAGTATTGTTAGCGCTGTCTGCTGTCTGCTGCTGCGCTAAGGGTTTAATACGGACTCGAAACTGAAAAATGCATAAATACCATTTTAATTAGAAAATTAGCTGGAAATATGCAGCTCACGTTAATCGCGGCGCTGGCTCCATTGCAAAACATGAAAGTCGACTCGAGGTTGGGGTCGGGGGCGTGGCCGGGGCAGGAGCTGGGGCAACAAAGCTCATGCAATATCCAAGAGGTGCGACAACAACTGAAAGCCAACTGACTGCTGCATCCTTTCCATTCGCTGCCGCAGTCAGTGCCTCTGGCTCTGCCCCTGCCTCCGGCCTCAGTCTCCTGCTCCGGCCTCATTCTCATCCTGACAAACGAAAATCATTGCGACACTCGGCTACGGCTCTGGCTCGAGCTCTGGGGAGTTCGACTCTGCTGTTTGTTGCGACAAATGCCGTTATAATTATTTATACCGTAAGCACATTTTATGGTGTCGCAATTTTAAAATGCAATTAGACGCGCACTCCATGAAAGAGCCAAACACACTAGCTCCTAAAAACAGCTCCAAATTTAAGCAGTAGTCGAGAGTGTGTCGCCGCACTTAAATACCCTGTATTAAAAGACTTCAGGCTTACAGAGATATTATAGAAGTAAGATGTGTGATTACATTGATATACATATATTTTCAACAATATCTTACAAATTGCATTCAGTTTAAAAATTTAAATTTTAAATTTAAAATATTTATATTATTTAACTATGTTTACATTTTCTATCTATAATAATTATAAATACATTAAAGAGTTGATACAAAAAAACCTAAAATGTATTTAAGCTATAAAAAATTCTTAAAATTTTGTATATATAAATTTAAAAATAAAAAAATTTATTAATTAAAAAAAAATTCGTAAATTTTTAAAATTAAATATAAATACAAATTTTGTATCAAAAGAAATATTATTTTATATATTATTCAAAAATAACTATAATTAAAATATACATTTTATACATTTTATTTTATTCTTAAATAAATTTTTGTATACAATTTCCATTTATTTTTAAAATATTTTAAACTTATATTTATTTGCTTTTATATGGATCAAAGGTAAATCTAAAATTGTCTACTACCGAAAATGGTCAACCCAGCGCTGGTTCTATCAGTTCAACACACACTACACGACACTCCACATTTACAGGGTATTAAAAGGCATTGAAATAACATACAAATAGGACAAAGCGCGTTACGAGCACAGACAACTGTAATTCTTAATGGGGTTTTGTCATTTCAGATTCGTGCCCAAAAATTGTATGCAAACATCAGAGCGCGGACTCCACACGCCCCCAACTGCTGCCTGCTACTCCTTCTACTCTTACTCCTTCTCCTAATCCAGCTCACCTGGCTTATTAGTTTTTTTCTCTCTTTTTTGGGGGAATTATTGAACAGCCGCGCGCCTTGCGCTATGCAATATGAATTTTTTCAACTCGGGCGTAACGAATCGAACGCAAAAACTAGGAATAGAAATGGAAATAGAAAAATCGAGCAGGTGCTGTCATATTTTCATATTACAAAACACACACACGCTCACATATTTTGCAATTTTGTTATTTAGCTAAGCGAGTGCACATATTTATCTAACCAGATTCGATTCTCAGGCAAAATGAAAAGTTTTTTGGCAAATCAATTTGCATAAAACTTGACTCACATATGTTGAAATTGCATAAAGCGAAATGTGCGCCAACTGCTAAAGTTACTTCAGATTGTTATTACGAATATGTTTAGGCCTATAATTAGTAACTTTACTATGTATGTATATAGAGTTCTATTAGACGGGAGAGTAGCAATTTGCAATTTTTTTAAATTTTCAATGTCATAAATTGGAGACAAAACCTGCCAAGTGTTTCACCTATGTATCATGGTTAGGTACTACATCCTCAAGACCTACTGAACCGGACCTGCACTATTTCCATACCTTATTTATCTGCGACAGGAGCACATAGCTTCTCTTTGATTTCAATAATATTTCAATTACAAGTTCAGTTCATTTCATTTCTTAACATGCTTTAAAAAAAAAAAATATTATAAAAAAAGGAATCATAAGAAAAAGGAATTTCATTTTTTTACAACAGAAAATTTCATTGGACTATCGTATTATCGGCTGCGGTCGTAAACTATTTGCAGCAATTATCTCGGAAAAGTTCAGTCGATGCCTTTGGGGAAATATGCGGTGAATTAATACGAGTTTATAGAGCCAAGGAGCTGCGCAGCCAAAGGAAGGCAGCAGGGGAGCCCAAGCCAAGGCAACCCTTTGGCCGTGTTGCCGTACGGCCATTTGGCCATTTGGCCCTTGCCGAATGAGTTTGCTAAGCGCAAGTTTCGCTTAATTTATAACGAGGATTACAATAAACAAACTAATCTACGGCAATAAACACTAAAAATCCCCCAAAGTGCTGGCCATTCAAGGAGCTCTGGAATCGAGCATTGTCACCATTCGCCACTCCGGGCCGTCGCCTTTTTTATAAGTTAAATCGCAGCAATCCTTTCGCCTTTTAAATATGCCATTTCCGCCGTGAGATTATTTTTCGATATCGCCAACGTATGATTCGATATGTTTACGAGTGCCCAGTGCCCAATGTGCTGAGCGGCGTTCCTCCACCGTTCCTGCACCGCCAGATAGGCATCGCGGCTCAGCTAGCTCAACTCAGCCGGGCGAGGCAGTTGCCCAAGTGCGTGCCTCATCCGGTCGATCCTTTTTATTTCTATTAGCAATAAGTTTGTGCGAATTTTATTTGACCGCCAGTGACTCAGGCTGCCATACTTGAGGCTTACGCACGAGGTAAACATTAACAATCAACTTTTTATGAGGGGTACTCCGACAATCCTTATTCTGTTGGCAGATATCAAATTTGAGTAGAGATGCTGAACGGTAATGGACAACTGAAGAAAGGTAACTAAAGACACTAACAAACTTATAATAATAATATTATGTAATACTTATTTAGCATTCTAAGAGATCATTTATATTTTTATATAATTATAATATTTTAATACAATTGTTAAAATATAATAAAAAATAAGTAAATCGAAATTAATTATTTCAATTAATTAGGTAAATATTTGTATATAGTTGAGTCAAATAGTATGAGTGATGTCAGCTGTTTCCGAAAGAGATTGTATTCGCATGAAAAGACTGCTAGCAGAGAGTATATGAGACGATTGTTATTATACATGCGTATAATGAAAATAAAATCAAATGTCTGTAAATTTGCATTACTAAGTCTACTAGAGATTTCTAGTACTAAGTAGAATATATAGTAAAAAAATTAACAAAGTACTTAATTATTATTTTACTATATAGCAACATCTTATATATGCTCTGCCTGAGATGATTTATGAAACGTCTGTGATTACTCTGGCTCAGGCCGTGAATATCCTTGAATATTTCATCTTGTTCAACGATCCTTAATTTACTCTAATTCTTTTGGAAGAGCTCCAGGTCAATATTCAAAAACTCTGCTCTCACTAAACACAGCTATGCCAAAATAGATTATAGACCAGAAGAAAGAGCTATTTGCATAGTGTATAACAAGCTTAAAATATAAACATCATATATAATTTCTAAGTAAATTTTTAAATCAAAGGCCTCAGTAGCTAGTGCTGGATTAGTTGTACTTTTACAAACATTAATGCCTAAAGCCTTGCCCATCGTCTCCTATGCAATACTAACCCATTCCTAATCTCTAATTACTTAAATGCGGAAGGAATCGGAAGAGAAAGAGATTCTCTTGCCATCAACTCAATATTAAATCAAAGGCGAAACGAATGAGCAGTGAAGAGGGAGCTCAGAGTTGGAGCTGAAGTCGGAGTTGAAGTTGGAGTTGGAGTTGGAGTTGAAGTTGGGAGTATGGGGAACAGACGGGACCACAACAAATTGACAGCAAACGGGATGCGCGTGATGGCCGAAAGGATGCCATTAAGGCCAACGGTTGCAATCGTTAGTGAAGCCATTAGTTTGTAGCGCCAATATGCGAAAATCAAAGGCAAACACCCGAACGTGTCCGGCCCGTGGGACAACCCCCAGAGATGTATCCACTGTACTCGTCCGTTGTATAATTGCAAGTGCACAGCTTTGGAAAAATGTGAGAGATATAACATAAAATAACCCAAAAAGGACACCGGACAATGGACAGAGGAGAGCGGACAGTGGACAGCAAAGTGTCCATCTACCACTAATGTGACCGGAGTACAGGCTGAGCCTGAGACACAGACAGTGAGACAGATACTCATACAGACACAGACACAGACACAAAGACGCAAAGACCGAGAGGACATCACGACTATGGCCCAGCAAACGTAACAATAACAATAAAACAAAGGCCGCTGCCAATGGACACACACACAGACACACACACACACATACGGGGTAACTGAAAATAATTTCAGGGATATTATCGCCGTGTTGGCGTTGGGTCGCTGCTGATGTCCCAGGCGCGATATGTGAACAAAAGTAGTCGCTACAGTCCGCAGGAGATTCGCATCAACATAATGTCTACTTTACAATGTGGATAAAGTCCGGCCAAGAAAACGAAATCACACATTCATATTGAGCAAAGCAGGCAGGTCGCTCCCACCTGACACTAGTCCAGGGTCCAGGATGAAGTCTGGCTGCTGCTGCCGCTCCTGCTACTCCTGCTACTCCTGCTGGCGCTGCTGACCAACCCCCTTTGGTGCACACTCACATACAGT